TTTCGTCGACCGCGCTTTTGTGGAACGCGGTTTTGACGGGTCACGGTCCAGATGTAACACCGATAGAATATATATATAGTGAGCACGAGGTTAAGGAAAGTTAGTTTATAACAAGGGAAATATCTGTTCTACGTAATTGAGGGTGGTTTTTCTCTCTCTCTGTTGAATTATATAATCATTTTTAAATAGTCCATAGGGGTGAAGAAACCAGGCTGAAAACATTTTTTATTTTGGCTGCTAGAACTTGCTGAATATTTTCTAGGCACAGATGCTCGATTCCACAAATTTTCAGCCGTCCATTAGTAAATGTGTTGTTTGTAGCACTAACCACCCATCATAGAAAAATGTATTTGATCAAGAAAAGCCATGCATTTCTCCTTTTATTGCTTTTGTGTTACTTCAGTCAAGCTTTTAATTAGGCGACAAGCCTGAGATAATTCTTTTTTTCCAAGCCACGGTTTGTAAACCATGTTCATTAGGACTCATGAGGGTAAAAGACTGCTTTTACTTCTCTTCTGCTTTCATCCCATCTATTAATAGCACCGAGAAGGACCATCTACACACAACCTAGCCATGTGTGCAATATATGTGTATGTAATAAATGTGACATAGAAACTCCACTATTTCTCTTAGCAGTTATGGGTTTGTCTCTGCAGAAGCCCCCTAACAGGCTAAGAATGCAGGAAGCACCAGGGATAAAGAAATTGAATATGTAGTGATAAAGAAGTTCGTAATGATGAAGCAATTTGCTTATTCCACAATTTAATCAATTACCAAATATTGTAGCTCTTTCTCATCTATGATCCAGGCAAAGGGCTAGTCACAACTTGGCTGACTCAGTTCAGGGTCCTTCAGACGGCTATTAGGCAAAGGGATGCTTAAAATGTTTGTTCTGCTCTGAGGAAGAATGTTGTTATCCTTTACTTGCTGTTTCCCCAATAGGGAAACCCAATTACTGGGTTCCCTGTAATTACAGATCAGCATTTTAACTTTTCATCTTCATAATTTGTTACCCATCTATTTCTTCTTTAGTATTGGTACGATGGTGAGGAGTTGGGTGAACTCCCTCTGGACTTCGATGTCATTTGGGATGGAGATTTTGCCATTGACAAGCCACCAGGATTCAAAGGTACCAGTTCTGGGTATTGAATGTGTGTAGGTTTTAAGGACACACAATTCCTCTTAGGTTATCACTGTAAAGCTGGTACTAATCGATTTTGGTTTACTAGTTCCCTGGAATTAAAATTATTATAAGTAGCCCAGTGGTGGGTTTCAAAAATTGTTCGAACCTACTCTGTGGGTGTGGCCTCCTTTGTGGGAGTGGCTTGCCGCCCATGTGACTGGATGGGAGTNTAGGGGGATAAGAATCCCAAATTCAGTCTGAACAGATAGTGCCTGAATATGATTTTGTAAACTTCTCCTTAATTGCAACAGGAAGATAAATGTCTTTTTTTTCTTTCCTTCTCTCAATAGCTCTCTTTAACCATTATATTATAGTAATTGTGTCACTCTTCCTTTTTTTGCAGCGTGAAATTCTTGTACCACAATGTAGCTTGGCTCACTTGTTTAAGCTGCTCACCCAATAAGCAATTTATTGTGGTTCACTTGTTCTTGACATATGGAACAGTGAACATTTGGTAAAACGAATCCTGTAGTATCTAATCACTAGGAATGTGGTACTTTATTTTGCTTTACTTAATGATTCTGTAGTCTGGGATAATGTGTTTCGACATTTTGAGGATGGTACTTGGGAAACCAAATCTTTTTCTTCCATTCCCATCTCTTTAAGTGCTTAGTGAATATTTCTGCACATTTATTTATTAATTGGTATTAGAATGCTGATGGGATGTCGGATTCTGTTTGCCTTAAATAAAGATTGAAAGCTTTCCTTTTGCACCAGATAGACATACATATTAGAGATTTGTTGCTGGCACTTGTTCCGTTTACTTTTAACATGCATTAATAATGTGAAAGAGGATAGATTTGACTCTGAAGGGGTTCAGATGTTTTGGAGGCAATGCAACATAATTTCAAATGACCAGGCATAAACAAAGCGAGAGAGGTACATCAATAAAAAGTCAAAATCGGTTGATCAAGAAGGAAAATGCTCGACAGGACTTTGTATTAATATACATGCAAAATACTGAGAAGAAGACATTTCTTTTATATATCTGGAACCCTGATCAGCAGTGGTTTTATATGATAAGTGGTTTTGAAAGAAGCCTTTCCCCATCCAGGCCCAGGAAACAATGTGTTTTTATCCTCAATATTCATTTAAAGATCCCTGTGTTGGCTGCATTATTGATCTCCAATTAGGGGAAGAAGATAGCAGAAGTTTAATACAGATCATATTCAGCAAAATATCAATTGTATATGGCGCACAGTCAAAATGCAGAGGATATTGGAGAATGTTGGGAAATAATTAGAATAGTAATGAATAATTATGAATCATGTACTGTGGAGCAACAACGTCTTTTTACTCTGGACTGTCCAGATGAGTTCCACCACAAAACCGCGGATGACAAAATCGCGGTCGACGAAAGCGCGTATGTGACNGTTTCAAAAAATTTTGGAACCTCTTCTTTAGGTGTGGCCTGCTTTCCGGGTCCACTGGTGGAACCTCTTCTAACCGGTTCGGTAGATTTGATGAATTGGTTCTACCGAATAGGTGCGAACTGGTAGGAACCTACCTCTGATGTAGTTGTTCATAGGTGTCCTTAGCAGCTGATTAGAGCTGGCCAGTTACTTTGTAAAACCACAGAACTTTGAGGCGAACGAGGAGCAACAAGGCTACCAACTAGAACAGAAAGCAGCAAAAAATAAAAATGGTTCTAGGTCTGAGGAAATGCAGATGGGAGCTCCGTTGACAGTGATGGCAGCAAAGAAAAATGATTTTTCTGCCGCCATTGCTTTTATGCAGAGCCATCCAGGGAGCAATTTTCAAGAGTGGGAAATCTGCTGCATGTAGGTCTCTTGGGTGATTTTAATGAACCAGTGGATTTTTTTCCTGCCAAGCATTTTCCCAATAAAACAATCATTTTCATCTGCGCTGACTTAGATGCCATTTTGGATACTGTACAAATACCAAACGTTGGGCTTTTAGATTTTAACCTTTAGCAAAAATGTGATGACGTATCTTAATACTGGATCATTTGCAGAATAGTTTTGAATGCAACTGTGGAAGAGAATGGTTTTCTCCCGTCCCTTTTGATTATTCTCCCATTGAGTTGCTTCTTGAGGTTTGGCATTTTCTCTGGGAGACTTCTGTTTCTGCTAATTTCAGTATTTGGCAAATAACTACCTCACTTCTGCACATTTTATTATTATGAGGTTAGCCTCTCATTTTTCTGTGGGCTTTTACGCACTACTTCACAGTGACTCATACTTTTCTGCTGTAACTGCTGATAAAGCATCTTCCATCTGAAGAATGGCAATCAAGCCAAGAGAGCTCACATGTCATGCATTTGAAGTTACATTTTTGATCTCCTTGATGCTTTACAGTAAAGGCAACATGGGCTGATTTGCTCCTGGTTGGGAATCTGGCTTATTTCTGGAAGGCAGCATATTATTGTTGCTGTTGTTGTTATTTTGTATACGGTACATGGTTAAGAAAATGTGAAGTGGTTGGATCTGAAGATTTATCAGTAAATAGCATGAGAGCTTGCTGTGTGTCTGTGCGGGTACACTGAAATATGTCAAAAACGTTTGATCAATATTCTAACATTCTGAATGGGGAAAGAAGGCTGAAAAGATTTCTGAGTAACATATATTTTATATTATTAATATATTTTATTTATTAATTTTTTTATTTTATCTTATGACATAAATAAAATAAAATGCTGTTGATTTTATTGTTTTATTGCAAAGTTTTTATGGCTGTTGTTTTTATTGCAAATTGCATTTTATTACTGGGGGAAAATATCTGCACACAAATAAATATTACTATCAATGCAACTGTTGCAGCTGCTATACTAGTAACAGCAACAATGAATATAATACCAGTAATAATAGAAGAGTTATAGAAGATAGAATAGAAGATGAATTTACCCCCAGTCAGTTGTAAAATGCAGGTTTACTCAGAACAACAGCCATAAAAACTTTGCAATNGAAGAAGGACTCCCTGGAGAAGAGCCTCATGCTGGGAACGATGGAGGGCAAAAGAAGAAGAAGGGGACAGCAGAGAAGGAGGTGGCTGGAAGGAGTCACTGAAGCAGTTGGCATGAGCTTAAATGGACTCCAGGGGATGGTAGAGGACAGGGAGGCCTGGAGGAACGTTGTCCATGGGGTCGTGATGGGTCGGACACGACTTAGCAACTAACAACAACAACAAGGGTCCCTTTGATGCGTTGTAAGAGGAAAACAACATTAACCAGTGGGAGAAGTACGTCACTTAGAAGGCAAGGAGAACCGAGGGACTCTTGGATAACAGAAGATCCAGAAGGCCCACAATGAAAGAAAATGCAAAATTAAATGTATCTCTTTTGGCAGAAATGACAGTCTTAATAAGGGATAATTGTGGAAGATGCGGATGTCAGGGATGCTACATTTTGGATTTCTTCTAAAGCTTACCTGATCATTATCGTCTTCATCACTGCTGAGCTTCAAGTCATCTTCAAGCATTCTTTGTGGAGAGAGAGAAAAAGAAACAGGTTGCAAAGTTATGCAAAGTAGAACAAGCTGCACCCCTCATTGCTATTATAAAAAAAAGGAGGGTTACATTGATGTGGCAACAACTGGAAAGACACCCCATTGTCCTCAACCAACTGAAGAAAAGATTGAAATATCAAGGATTTTGAATTAGGGAGAAAACAACCCTGTTGTAATTGGAGTTCTGGGTTCAAATCTTCATCAGATATTTAGAAATTGTAAACTTACTAGACGCAACACGGCTAAATTTGCTAAAGACTGCCATCTTTGTATCAATAGGGATGTGGTGGATCAGTAGCTAAGACGCCGAGCTTATCGATCGGAAAGGTCGGCAGTGCGGCCGTTTGAATCCCCAGTTCCGCGTAACGGAGTGAGCTCCCGTGACTTGTCCCAGCTTCTGCCAACCTAGCAGTTCGAAAGCACATTAAAAAATGCAAGTAGAAAAATAGGAGCCACCTTTGGTGGGAAGGGAACAGCGTTCCGTGCGCCTTCGGCATTGAATCATGCCGGCCACATGACCACGGAAACAACTTTGGACAGCGCTGGCTCTTTGGCTTTGAAACAGAGATGAGCACCGCCTCCTAGAGTCAGGAACGACATATATGTCGTTTAGCTTATATGTGCAAGGGGAACCTTTAACTTTACCTTACCTTTGTATCAGTATATCTATTTTTTGAAGCTACCCACTATAGTAGTAGGCTTGAAATTCTCAGTTTGGATAACTTAGAACTGCATTGCTTGTGGTCAGACTGAAGTTTTGCATATAAAAATATATGTAGTAATGTTCTACCCATAAATGATTGTTTTAATTGCAATAATTCGCATGCGAACAACCGCTTTAAACTCCATGTGAACCATTCTAAACCTGACTGTAAGAAAATAGGATTTCTGTAATAAGAGTTGTCGAAGTCTGGAACGCCCTCCCCGATCCAGTTGTCTCAGCTACAAATCTTCACAGTTTCAGCCACAAATGGACTTCTGTGGACCTCACTTCATACTTAAATGGTCCGTAGAGGGGACGTGCATGAGCGCATTAACGGGCCTGTTGTCCCTATCATTGTGTTTTTTATTCTCTTGTTCTTGTTCTTGTTTTTTGTTTGACAAATTCTAATAAATGACTGACTGAACGAACAAACAAACAGATAACAAGAACTTTGGCTGGGCATTGGATCACTGGAGTCAACACCCAATCAATTAGATGGTGGCATCCACTTGGGTCACAACAAGAGCACTCCAGTTCCTCAGTGTTAAATCTCTCCGCTTACTGGTGAAATGCGCAAGACGGACCATTAACCAGGCCATAAGTCATTCCTTCTTTGGTGACCTCTGTGGCGTGGAAGCTCAGCTGCTCCAGAACTGAGACAGACCTGAACCAACTGAGCATTAACCTCCTAATCAATGAGATGCTTCCGTCAAATATAAGCTTGTCAACAGACGCTTAGATCGGAAATCTCTCGTTTCCCTCCTTTCAAATGAGGAAACCGCGAGGAAATATTAATGGT